TGTTGGGCCAGTTGGAAACAGGTCATTTTGGAGAAGATCTATCTATGTGGTTCCTAGGAGTAAAATAAAATAAAATGATGGAACACCATCCATCCATCCATCCATCCATGGTAGAAGTTGTCCGATGCACCTTTATGCACCATATGTTTCATGCCTATCCTGTATTTTTTTAAATGAATATGCTTGCCTATGAATCCATCTGCAGACTGACTCTTGAATTTTTAACCAAAATACCGTGAAAAATACACCGCCCACAGATAAGCTGACCTTCAAAATGTTCTGTGTTTTAATTTTCACAATTGCCTTAAACATGGGTAATCCATGGATTATCCATTTTTCATAGTATTTTGGTTAATAAGAGTCACCTTATCCCCAGATGGGCTTATCTGCAAGAATATATGGGATATATATGGGTACTTTAAAAATAAGTATTACCCTTTATACTTGCAGATAAGCCCATCTGTGGATCAGAATGTCAATTTTTGTGGTGCATTTTGACATCTAAATTCTAAAATTCTCAGTTTATTCGCGAGAATATAACTTGTCAACTGTCCCATTCAGTCATCTAGCAAAGAAAGATTCCTGCCCATTTGTTTTTGCCAAGAATATACTTTACTGAAGCTTAAGTGGTTACAGAAGTAGCGCAAGTTGAATCTGAGGTTTTCCCACACAAACAACAAAAAGTAAATTTTCCTCTCTCTCCCAACCCCCCCCCCCTTATCTGCAAATGTCCAATTAGGTGTTTGTATATTGTTTAGGAAATAGGTTGTCAATTCCCAGCTCTGCCTATGGATAGTTGACCTTGGCTGACTGAAGCTTCTCATAAGGTGCAGCTGAAATTCCATCCCCCACCCTTTCTTCCTTGCATTCCAATCCTTCCCGCTTCCCTCCCACCCCCACGTTGCTAATGTCAGGCTGTCAGCTCATAAAGCTTGGAGAGGAGAGATGCAATAATACAGTATGAGTTTTATTTGCTGTATCTCATGTATTTTTAATTATGAGTCTTGGACTGTAAATAAACAATTTCAGCATAAACAAATCTTTTAGTAACTATGTTCTTAATTATTTTTAGACCGAGGCTTCCTGTACTGAGTCATATTGACCCACCAGCCTTACGACAACAAGATGCACATCTTGAGTATACAAAAAAAAAAGTTAGTAATTCACAACTACCGGTGCACTCCAATAAACCAACTAGAAGGCTTAAATCCAGAAATACCCATTGATATCGGCTCAGCAGTTGCATAAGTAACTTTGATATAAAATCCCAGTGGAAAGAAAATTGGATTATGTTATCCATGTATTTCATGCCATTTGCTAAAATTTTTAGACTCCACTGTACTTATTGTTTTTCTCCTACAGGTAGTCCTCGACTTATGACCACAATTGAGCCCAAAAATTCTGTTGCTAAGCAAGACCATTGTAAAGTGAGCCTTGCTCCATTTGATGACTTTTCTTGCCACAGTTGTTAAGTGAATCACTACAGTTGTCTGGTTAGCAACATGGTTGTAAAGTGAATTTGACTTCCTCTCTGACTTTGCTTGCCAGAAGGTTGCAAAAGAGGATCACATGATCCTGGGACACTGCGACCGTCATAAATATGAGTCAGTTGCCAAGTGTCCAAATTTTGATCACATGACCACGGGGCTGTAACAACAGTCAGAAGTATGAAAAATGATCATAAGTCACTTTTTTCAGTTGAATGGTCACTAAATGAACTGTTGTAAGTCGAGGACTACCTATATATGTCTGTGCGTAAGTGTATGTGTGTCTACACCAGGGGTGTCAAACTCAATTTCATTGAGGGCCGCATCAGCATTGCAGTTGCCCTCGGGGGGGGGCGGCCTACTGGGTGGGTGTGGATGGCGTGGGTGTGGCCTACTGGATGGGCGTGGCCAGCTCTACATCATTTGCGTCAAGAGTGCCTGTGGGGGCCTGGGCAGGAGTGGGACAGATCTGAGGGTCTCTCGCAGAAAGAGGTGGGACCGGGGCAGAGCCCATCAAGCCAGATATGTGAAGTAGGCGAGGGCCATTTGCTGGCCACTTACAGGCGATGGTCCATTTCTTCATTCCTCACAAAGGGTGACACCTCCCCAGCATGCACCCAGGGGGCGGGGCCGACGCGGCAGGGGCTGGTTCCTCGCTGTTTCCAGGCGGCCTTGTGGAACTAAGACTGAATGCGTTTCAGGATAGATGGCCACCACAAAATTGTACCTTGGCTCCCGGCCGGCCTGGGCCGGGGCCAAGGCAGCGGGGGCCGTTCCCTCACTGTTTCCAGGATGGCTTCGCGGGCCACATGAAACCACTTCGCGGGTCGCATCTGGCCCCCGGGGCCTTGTGTTTGACATGTCTGGTCTACACATATGCACGCACGCACACATACACACACAAATATATAAAATGATGTAATATTTCTTTTATTCAAGATTGTATTTGTATCTAGCCTTAGGGCTGCAAAAAATTGAACTGAATTGAACATAAGCAAATCAGGGCAAAGCACAGGTTTATACAGCTCCCCTCTCCTCCCTTTAAAAAGGGAGAGACCTCCAAATTTTCACTTCTGCATATCTATGGAGATTCTCAGTCATCCAGGTGATGGTTGTCCCAAAGCTGGTTTTTCAAAAGGCCATCGGTTGTTCTCCTTGAAAACATTTCGCTTTTTATCCAAGAAGCTTCTTCAGTTCTGATTGGATAACTGGCTAGACTGGGTAGCTAATGATTGATCTTCAGAGTGCTAAGGATCAGATGACTGCAAAGAATATATTATAAATCCTTCTATTCTCCACCATTCAGTCAGAACTGAAGAAACTTCTTGGTTGAGAAGCGAAACATCTTCAAGAAAAAAAAACCCAAGAAACTCCAGTTGCCTTTTGAAAAGCAACTTTGGAACAAATTTCACTTCTGCATTTCCAACCCTGGTTTGGCAAGATTACAATCCCTTTTTACTACAGTGGAAAAGAACCAAAATGGACAAACGTTTTATTTCAGAAGCTGACGTTGATCTCTCCAACCATCCTTTAAATAAATCACTGGGGCATTTGACAATGATGAGACTTGAGCCCTGGCATGACAGTTTTTGATTTCACAGCTGTGAATAATTTTTTTTAATGAAAAAGGAGAGCAGGAAGAATGGTTCAGAATGAGATAAAAATAAATGCCCATTGTATCTGGATTAAGTAACTGGGTCTTTGAACAGCTGCTTTTATTATTATTCCAAAGTGAGTGAGAAACACACACACACACACAGTTTGTGTCTTTTGTTTCTCCTTTCTTTTGTTACACTGTCAGTTGAGGGAAAAAATACTATTTCCAAAATATATAAATGCTGCATTCATTTAAAAAAAAGGACGCAAATCTTTACCCTTTTGTGGCTTGGCTATGAAAAGCAATTATTCTCAGAAAGAGAAATAGATAAGCAAATTTTGGATAAAATGAAGCATTGATCAAACCCTTAGATAACTGAATGCAATACGATTCTTCATTGACCAAATTTTGTTGAGTTAAATGGCAGAGTTTATATAGGACAACCAAAGAAAGATACGATAAGCCAATTACACAGAAGCTGAAATAAAGCAAAACAGAATGCTGCATGATACTAAATTTTTAAATGAGAATTCTAACCAAAACCCAAAAGATTAAAATATGTTATAATACAAAAATAATGAAATGCTTTTTACAGCATTGATTTTAATTGATTTCAATTAATTTTATGATATGTGGACTTCAACTCCCAGAATTCCCCAGTCAGCATGCTGGCTAGGGAATTCTGGTAGATGAAGTCCACACATCTTAAAAAGTAACCAAGGTTGAGAAACACTGCTCTAATCTACGGTAGCTCTCTTTAGTAAAAATGGTCTTATCAGGCAGATCCCCAGGTCAAATTTTGGATTTGTAGGAAGGCTAGTCTACTTTGGCTCTGCTCTACTAGTTGCCGATTCTGGTTTTAAAAGTTTCACGGTCCTTTCTCAAGATTGTTACTCCAACATGCTTGTAAGGCCGTGGAGTGATCATTCTTTGAGTCTGAGCTATCCAATAACACACGGGTCCTCAAACCTGGCCACTTTAAGACTTGTGGACTTCAACTCCTGCAATAACAGGAAGACTTTAACTTCCTATTAAAGTGGCATAAAATGATTTATTTTATTTATTAGATTTTAGGTCACTTTTTCCTGCAGGAACCCAAGGTGGCATACACAGCATTTTATCCTCTCATTTTTTTCCCACAAAAAAACCCTGTGAGGTAGAATAGGCTGAGAGAAACGTACAGGCTCCAAATCATGAAGTGAGCTTCCATGGCTCAGGGTGACACAAATTTCAGCCTCCTATCCCTGATCTACCCCCAACCATCATCCCCAACCAGATTTCAGCTGATAACATGGAACAAAATAGATAAATGAGAGATCAATAATTTGCCTTGACTGCAGGAGCTCAAAGAGTTATAATTTCATTTTATCTCCAAAACCACAACCCTATAAGTAGGCCAAACTGAGAGAGATGGACTAGCCAAAATTTCCACAGATTGAGGGGGGGTCCCCTAGTCCTAATCCAGCATCTTGCCCACTACATCACATTGACTGGTGCTTGTTCTACTCAGAAAACACAACGAATCATAAATTAGCGGAGTATATTTTAACCCATGTGGCTCACTCAGTAGTCTACTTTTCATGCCAGAGAATTGGTTTGAGTAAATCAGCATTTCCCAACCTTGACAGCTTTAAGATATGTGGACGTCAACTCGCAGAATTCCCCAGCCAGCATGGCTGTTTGGGGAATTCTGGGAGTTGATGTTCACATATCTTAAAGCTGCCAAGGTTGGGAAACACTGGGGTAAATGATGATTGTTAATTCAAGTAAGCAGATTGTGTGAATGTCTTCTGGGAACATGAGACAAGGATTCTGAACATATCTCTTGGCTCTATTCTGGGATATTGTGATATCACTGAGATACCATTGACAGCAAAATATGTTCACAAAGCAGAAAAATCNCCTTCACCCCTTACCGCACAGGGCAATGATATGACTGCTATCTTCATGCACAAACTTCTTGGTGACAGCTTCTTCCATTATTTGCTTGACCTGAAAATAAAAAGAATGTAAAAGGTTATTCATAGGAACTGAAATTGATAGACATAATGTCCTTCCGGGTCAAACTAATGCTGGATTTTTACATAGGACTAAACCAGTGTGTTTTTTTTTCAAATTTGGCCAATTAAGATATGTGGATTAATTCCCAGAATTCCCCAATCAGTATGCCAGAGCAGCATAGTCAAAATAAAGCATCTGCTGATTTTACATGTGTTTGCTATGTTATGCAGGTCACAAAATAAAGTATTTTAAAGCCTAATAAAGACAAGTTGTTGAATTCCTGTCTTCCCTCAAGAAACTCGATGGTTTACACACAAATTACCTTTCATTGTATTCACATAAAAATAACTCAGTGGGGTAGATTTGGTTGGAAGGGGTAGATTGACACAAACTCAATTTGTTTCTATAGGCTAAAGATAGATTTCAACCTGGATCTCCAACTACAGCTGTATTATTTATTTGTAAAAAATATTTTAGTCCATTTTTCATTAAAAAAAAAAAAACCATCCCAAAGTACAATGACTCACTCTCTTCCTGGCAATGACTTGCTAGGATTTTCAGCAGGAATATGGTTTGTCATCATTTGCTCCATATTTCTTTTAACAACCGGAGATGCTAGAAATGGAATCTTCTTTTCAACCTCCGAATGCAGAAAGCCAAGAAGTTGACTTAACATTGAAGGTAACATACCAAAAGCCACTTGGGGTAGGCAACCTTGGCTCTTTTATGACTCGTGGACTTCGACTCCCAGAATTCCTGAGCCAGCCATGCTGGCTCAGGAATTCTGGGAGTTGTAGTCCACGAATCATAAAAGAGCCAAGGTTGCCTACCCCTGTGGGGAAGGCTCCAGATTAGAAACCAGAAGGCTGCCTTAGGCAGGAAAGCTGGCTGGGTGACTTTGGACCAATCACCAAAAAATAGAGAATTCTAGTCCCGCCTTAGCCATGAAAGCCGGCTGGGTGACTTTGGGCCATTCAACAAGAAATGGAAAATTCTAGTCCCACTTTAGGCATAAAAGCCAGCTGAGTGACACTGGGTGACTTTGGGCCTATCACCAGCAGATGGAGAGTTCTAGTCCCACCTAAATCATGAAAGCCAGCTGGGTAACTTTGGGCCAGTTACTCTCTCTGAACCTACCCACCTCAGAGGGTTGTTGTGTGGAAAATAGGAAGAAGAAGGTGAATTAGGTATGCTCTCAACCTTGGATTATTTATACAAGTAATAAAGGTGGTATATAAATAAGTAAATACCTAGATTGCTTATCTTCTAGCCCAGGGGTAGGCAACCTCGGCTCTTTTATGACTCATGGACTTCAACTCCCAGAATTCCCGAGTCAGCATAGCTGACTCAGGAATTCTGGGAGTTGAAGTCCATGAATCATAAAAGAGCCGAGGTTGCCTACCCCTGTTCTAGCCCAATATCACCTGCCCTATCAGCATTGCCTACACACAGAGACACTCACACACAAACACACACTCTCTGCTTCAATTCACCTTCAGGCTTTCTTAATATCAGTACTTTACAGAATAACAGAATTGGAAGGGACCTTGGAGGTCTTCTAGTCCAACCCCCTGCTCAGGCAGGAAACTCTATACTATTTTCAGACAAATGGTTGTCCAACCTCTTATTAAAAATTTCCAGTGTTGGAGCATCTACAACTTCTGAAGACCAGCTATTCCACTGATTAATTGTTCTGTCAGGAAATTTCTCCTTAGTTCTAGATTGCTTCTCTCCTTGATTAGTTTCCATCCGTTGCTTCTTCAGGTGCTCTGGAGAATAGATTGACTCCCTCTTCTTTGTGGCAACTGATGATACTCAGCTGTACATATCCACCCCGGGCCACCCCAACGATGCCCTTGACGTGATGACCCGGTGCCTGGAGGCTGTGAGGGTCTGGATGGGGAGGAACAGACTCAGGCTCAACCCTTCCAAGACCGAGTGGCTGTGGCTACCGGCGCCTCGGCATAGTCAGCTGACTCCATCGCTGACTATAGGGGGCGAAACTTTGGCCCCCTCGGATAGGGTACGCAATCTGGGTGTCCTCCTGGATTCACGGCTGACACTGGATGATCAGTTGGCGGC